AGGTGGTATGCAAATACTGTGCCTTTATACATAAGGGACTTGAGCATCCTCAAATATTGGGAGGTCTAGGGGGTGGTCATGGAAAATCATCCCCCTGAGATATTGAGGGATGATTGTGCTACTACATGCTTTTTAGAACAGCTAAAATTAAAAAGATTGATCGTAGAGAGCATTGGTGAGGCTGTGGAGAAACTGGAACTCTCATGCACTGCTGCGGGGAACTGCAACCACTGTGGAAAATGATTTAGCAGTTTCTTTAGAAGGTAAACATACACCTACCTTACGATGTGGTCATTTCGTGCCTTGATATTTACCCAAGAGAAAAGATAGCATATATTCATACAAAGATTTAACATGAATATTCATGGAAGTTTTATCTGGAATAGCCTAAACTGAAAATAATCCAAAGTTCACCAACTGGTGAATGGATAAACAAATCATGAGGGTGGCGTCTGTGGCTCAAAGGAGTAGGCCGCTGGCCCCATATACCAGAGGTGGCGGGTTCAAATCCAGCCCTGGCCAAAAACTGCAAAAAAAAAAAGAAAAAAAACTTGAGATATCCATACAATGGAATACTACTCAGTAATAAAAAGGAATGAACTGTTGATATACAAACAACATTGATTACTTTCTTTTTTTTTTTTTGAGACAGAGCCTCAAGCTGTCCCCCTGGGTAGAGTGCCGTGGCATTACAGCTCACAGCAACCTCCAACTCCTGGGCTCAAGCGAGTCTCCTGCCTCCGCCTCCCAAGTAGCTGGGACCACAGGCGCCCGCCACAACGCCTGGCTATTTTTTGGTTGCAGCTGTCATTGTTGTTTGGCGGGTCCGGGCTGGGGATTCGAACCCGCCACCTTAGGTGTACGTGGCTGGCGCCTTAGCCGGTTGAGCTATAGGCGCCGAGCCAACATTGATTACTTTCAAGGTAATTAATTACTCTGGGTAATAAAGAATTTGTCTGGTCTTTGTCCCTAGTATCTGGGAGATAGCCTCTAAATCTTTGGAATTTCCAAGCTATAAGGAATATATTTGTTATTTTTGGTGGGAGTGGCCCTCAGACCACACTTGAGTTTGTGCTAATGAGGTGACGTAGGATGACCCCTAGATAATGCCAATGGAATGACTCAGGATGGGGGCTGATTGTGCCAGAAAGATCAAACATATGATTAGAAGGCTGGGCTTTGAAGCTTTTGGTGTCAACCTGACTTCTAGGGAGAGAAAAGGAGGTGAAGACTGAGTTACAGGCCACGAGTCACACCCATGTAATTATAATGAAGCCCTAATAAAAACAAGGACAGTCCCCTTGGTTGGCAACATTCTGGTGATTGCCACACATCAGTTTACTGGAAGGGTGACTTGTCCTGCCTCTGCGGGGAGAGTGAATGGAGGCTTCATGTTTGAGACCCTTCCAGACCTTTCCCTGTGTGTCTCTTCTTTTGGCTGATTTTGATTTGTACTCATTGGCTATAATAAATAAGACTGTAATTATAATAGTTTCCTGAGTTCTGTGAGTCATTCTTGTGAGCTATTGAATGGGGCAGAGAAGTGGGAACTCTGAACTTGTGTCTGATATCAAAGTGAAGGCAGTTTTATGCCCTTAACCTAGCACCTAATGCTGGGTAGTTGATGTCAGACATCATTGCAATTATGATGAGTGAAAGAAGCCAGGTATAAAAGAGCACATACTACAGTCTTTAAAAATGCAAACTAACATACCGTAACAGAAAGCAGATCAGTGGTTGCCTAGGACAAGGGTAGAGGGATCTAGGGAGGAGGAGTTATAAAGGCAGGCAGAAATTTGGGGGGTGATGATCTGTGCACTATCTTGATTGTGGTGACAGTTTCACCACAGTTTCTGACATGCATATGTCACAACTTACCAGACTGTACAATTTAAATATATGTAGTTTGTTGTATGTCAACAATACATCAATAAGTTTTTGTTTTTAAATAAAGGCGGAGTACAGCCCTCATCTGTCACCCTGACCAGACCCTCCAGTGGTTTACCCAGAATCAAAGTGCTCCATGACCTGGCCCCAGGTTCTCTTTCCATCCTTGTATTTTAGCACTGTCCTCTCAAATCATTTGCTCCAGCCAAACTATGTTTCTTGCATTTCTCCAAATATTCTCCATGCTTTTCCAATCTCCATAGTTCTGCTTATGCTGTTTTAGAAGCCCTCTCTTGAGTTACCACCCTCTCTACCTGTTAAAATTTGATCTATCCTTGAAGGCTTAGAATTAATTAAATGTAAGCTCCATGAAATCTTCCTTGGGATCTTGAGTCAGAAATGATCTGTCCCTTTCTTCAACTCCAGTCGTGCTCTGTATGCAGCATTTGCCACACTGTCCTTGCCTCCTTACATGTGTACGTAGGTAAGCAAATCTTCTAGTTAGACAATTAGCATCTTGAGGGTGGGGGCTATGCATTTTATTCGTCCTTGAATTCCCCACATGGCAAGGCACACAAATCTTTACGAATGGAGGGTAGTCAAATCAAATACTAACTAAACAGCACAAACGTAAATTTCCCAGCATCTCATCCTTTCCACAAACTTAGAATCTGTATCCCTCCGTGTCCTTCTCTTTCTCTACCTCAACACGCTCTTTCTCCCTCTTCTTCACGTTTTCCTTAAGCCAATTCCTTTTGTTTATGTTAAGAGGCTGTGCATGTGTTCTAGTATTCTTGTATGTTCTGTCTACATAGTAAATACTACTATCCAGTAAATCTCAAGTGATAGCTACTTTCCATCTTAATATTTAATTTCCCCTCCTTTTCTTTTTTCCCAATTTCTTAGCTGTAGAGCACCATGATTAAAGTCTCAGGCTCAGGAGCCACCAGGCTGGATCTGAGTCCTGACTCTCCCACCTGCTAGCTGTGTGACTTCAAACAAGTTTCTTAGCCATCAGTTCTGCCATGTGTAAAACGGAGATGTTAATCGTGACTACATCCTATGATCACCTTGAGGATAAAGTGAGCTAGTATCTGTAAGGTGCTTAGAATGGTGCCGGGCCTGCAGTGACCACTCAATAGCTAGTATTTGTTCCACTGAACCATAGGAGCATTTGCAAAGGTGTGGTGGGATAGAGACGGCAAGGGGACTGAATGACTAGCCTTGGTTAACCACATCAGAATCATTTGGATGTTGCATTAAAAATACAGATTCTGGGCCCCATCTGCAAGATTCTGGTGGAATCCAAGAAACTTTTTTTGCGTATGCTCCCCAGATCAGGATGGATGGCCAGGCTGGGGAACTACTGACACACAAGTCAATGACCTACATTTGATGTAAGGAGATCAGAGCTCTGGTAGTGTTTTTGCCAGTAGCTTTTCTGAGACTCCATTTTCTCATTTTATAAAACGCAGATAAAAATTTGTGGGGGTCAAATCACTAAGGTCATTTCTGTGGGGAGGATGACTTAGTGGGGGTGAAAGGAACACAGGCTTTGGAATGAGTCATACCTGGCTGTGAATCCCACTGCTGATGCTGCCACAGACATACCTTGTGGCCAATTCTATGTCTAGCCCCATCTTCTTTCTACTACAACCCTGATTTTGCTTGGGGTATAACTGTTCCCAGCTAAAAATGCTTTGCCTTCCAGACTCCCTGGCAGTTAGGGATGACCATGTTGACACAATCCATTCAGAAGTCAGCTGAGGAGTTCTGGGAAGGACTTTATTTTCCTACTATAGGCACTGCTCCTGTTTCTCCTTTTGTCCTATTGTCTTTCCTTCCTGTCTGGAACATGGATCAAAGGTCTGGAGGTGCAGCAGCCATCTTGTTATTATGAGAGTGGTACCAATATGGGGGAAGGATCCTATAAGCTGAGTATAATGGAGTAAAGAGATGAAAAGATTCTAGGTCCTCAGGGGCACCACGGAGCAGCTGCACCATCTCTGGACTACCTCTTCATTGTCTTATGTGAGACAAAGGAATCTCTAATTGCTTAGGCAGAAGAAATTTTTTGTTGCTTATATGTACCCTAAAGTTTCCTATGGAAAATTAAAACAGAATGAAAATCCCAGACCCATTTCTGACCCAGTGGATATTCAGATATCTGGTTCCCCTTCTTCAGCTATGAGATATTTTTTGGATCTGTAGAACAAAGCTTCTTCTAAATTCAATATCCTATAATTAGCTGAGTATAAGGTAGAAGAATTGGACTCTTGGGGATTGACTTCTGGAATAAAGGGTGTCAGGGAGGAGTCCAGGGAGTCTGGGAAGGCAGTAACACTCGTTTGCCTCTCAAAACCCCAGCGTGGAGTACCTGCCGCATCTTGTCCTATGGAGACCGCTGCACCCAAAGCAGATGTTTAAATCTCCATGTGCTCTTGTGAGGCAGAATGTGCAAAATATGAGTCCAAAGGACATGGAATTGCCCTTTCTCTGATGTAAATATGGACAATGATTCTAAGGCTCCTTTCCTTGGTAACATACACGTTTGAGAGTAAGAATGAAACCTATTAACACCCCCATCCCACCCCCACCCCCACCTCACCCCCCCGCCGCCCATCAAACACATGATATATTCCCTATGATTTTCTCTTCCGGAAACTTAAGTACTTGGGTGTGAGTGTGTATATATATCGGTGGGGAGAGAGAGGAGTTTCAGTTTTCATTATCATTCTTCTCTGCCTGCCGCAGGACTTTTACAGGATCAGGCTAATGCCCTTATGGACCACAGGATTGCCATGACTCATCCAAATCAGCTGCCCTCTCTGCCAGCCGAATCCTGCAGGTCCCCAGGGATTTCCTGGCACTGCCAACTTGATCAGTTTAGCCATTGCTACAGAGTCAGGACTATAAACACTCTCAAAAACCTTAAACATCAAAATATAGTAAATACAAAAGAAACATTTTTTTGTTTCTTAGCAAGTGTATTCTTCCTCCATTATGTAGAAAAGATTGAATGGCAGGAAGTTGAATCTATTTTTACTAAAAAAGTAAAGAAAATCATGCAATGAGATAGTCCTATTTGACCTTCCGCATAGACACACCCTCTTTCTCCCAAGACTCCGTGGTTCAAGGTAGGACTTTATCCTGGGCACTGAGTTTTGTCCAACCCATCAGCTCCTTCTCAGATCAGTGCCATCTGACTTTCAGCCCTTCCAGTCTAAGTGTTCCTCCCTCATGGCCTTCACAAGCCAGTCCCTTTCTGTCCCCGGCTCAGAGTCACTGCTGTCACTTGCCTCCATGGCAAGCAGCTTTGAGTAGTTGATTTTCCGCTCTTGGGGCAGCCTCGGCTGGATGGACAGGAACAAGGCCAACCAGAGCAGCAGGATCACACAGCAGGCCTGGTAGAGCAGAGACAGGCTGAAACGCATGGCCACGAAGCCTGACACAAAGCTTCCCAGGCTAAAGCCACTCCCATAAAAATGGCTTTGAAACATGGTGCGCAGAGGCCTCTCTGTGCCAGGAGTGGCCAGGGCCTCTATTGAGGCCCCAACTGCCCACCACAGAGCCCCGTAGCTGACAGCACTCAAGATCTGAACGGGGAGGACAGACCACCAGCTCCAGAGGAAGGAATAGTACAGCAGCTGCCCAGCGAGGCAGCCCAGCCCCAGCCCCACTGTGCCCACCCTGGACAGTTTCCTAAGCAATGTCGTTTTGAAGGGATGAAGCAGAATTTCCCCCAGCAGGCTGAGGGCAACTGAGAAACCCATAACCAGTTCACTGCTCCCGTGGTCCTCCATGTGCCAGAACAAGAAGTTCTGCACAGTACTGGCCATAGCTCCTAATAAAAAGACAGTGCAGGCCAACAGCACCAGGCGAGGGTTGCTTCCCACGAGAGACAGTGCTTTGACGCTTCTGTAGCTGTGCTCCCGCCGCCGGCAGACAGGAACAGGGAAGGCAATGCTCACCAGCAAGGCCAGGGTGCTGACCAGCGAGTAGCCGTAGAAGTGCACCACACCCCGGGGGCTGTTGGTCATTAGGAAGCAGTCCTGCTGCCCCACCAAGGCCGCGATGCTGCATGCACCTGCCGACATGCCCAGCAGTCTCCAGATCCACAGTCGTCTGTACCGGTCAGTGGCATCCACAAAATCCAGGTATTCATAAAGGCTTTCATCTGCCACCTGCTCCAGAGGGGCCGTCAGCAGCTCCCAGAATACCAGGGACCCCAAGGAGAGGATGAAAGTCCACCTCAACCCTTCCAAGGAGAGCCTGAGGACCTGGGCTTTGCCCTTTGCCACTGACAAATTGGCCAGACTTCCCATTGCTGTGCCCCCTGGAAGGGAAGGGAGGGCAGTGCTGACCACCTCGAAAGCACCTTCCCAGGAACTGTCTTTCACCCCTGAGGTGACAGGATGGAGAAGACCTTGGGATGTGGTTGTAACTCCTTCAGCGGAGCCTACTAGATAGCCATGCAGATCACTGGCAGTTTCTTGGTCACCTTCACCGCGTCCATTTCTGAAGCCATAGGCTCCCGTGACTCTAGTACTCCTCTTGCCTGGGAGGCTGGGTGCTCCAGCTGGGTGGTTTGAGGCAGGCTCTTGGGCAGAGGTGACAGCCACTGTCAGTGGGAGCCCCAGTGGCATGGCTGTGGTGGTCATGCTTCTGCTTCTGTTACAGGAGTGGTACAACAGCTGTTTGTCCAGCGGTGGGACCAGCACCATGAGCAGGCTGGCGCCCACCGAGCCCAACAGCGAGCCTACTAGAAGCGCTCTCCGTTTCTGGTAGCTTTTGGCCAGGAAGGCACAGAAAGGACCCCAGAAGGCTGCGATCAGGTGCTTGGTTCCCATGAGGATGCCCACCCAAGGCACGGCCAAGCCCAGCTGCCTCAGGTAGAGGGTCAGGAAGGGTGTCACGCAGGCATCCCGGACCCCACACACCAGGTGGAAGAGCTTGGCCACTCCCAGCGCCCTACTGACGTCCCATTGTGGGTTGGCGCTCATGGCCACCTGACTCCGTCAGACCCCGGCCGGAGAAGGACAGAACCGGGCGCAGGGCGGGCGCGGCCCCATGTCCCCGGGAGGGTGGCTCGGGGAACTCCGGAGTCCGAGCGAATTGGACGCTCTGCCTACAGCCTCCGGCGGCGCGGCGGTCACCGGGTCAACGGCCGCCCCCGCCCCCCCACGTCCGGCCGCAGGCCCGGAAGGGGCCCCTCCCTGAGAGACAGGCAGGGGCGGGGCTGACGCACCTGCGGCCACACCTGCCACGTCCCGCTGCCTCCGCCCCTCCCCCACCTCCCGGACCTGCACAGGTGCGAGAGGGGCGCGTCCTGGGGCCTGCGGAGTGTACGCTCCGGGGGGCCACCACTGCGCCCGGTCTCCGTAAAACCATCGGCGCCGGCGCGGGGGTCGGGGGAGCGAGAATGATATCCACGAGGCTCCCTCCCTCATCTTCCCCTATCAGTGACCACCCGTAAGCATCATCCCGGTACACCCCAAATTTAACTGCCAATCTCATAAACGAGTGCTCAGCCCCCGCTCCCCCGACTCCTCACCCGCTTCCCTGCTGCATTGTTCTCCACAGCTTAGCGCTTCCGAACACACAGCGGGATCGTTAGTGCAAATATCAACCTTGTTTACTGTCTGTCGCCATCAGAATCATAACTCCGGGAAGGCGGTTATTTTTGTCCCCCGGTCCTAGAACTGTTTCGCTGGATGCTACTGTCCCTGGGAGACAGTAGCGACCAAGTGACCTTGGGTGACGCAACTTTCTTCAACCGGGACAATCCCCAAAGAGGGCTGACAACTCGGGTCCAGGCACTTCCTGCAGCCAGCGGCACTGCTGCAGCCGCACTTCACAGCCCCAGAAGCAGGAGGTATGTCCTGGATTGTTTAAATCCACACCTAGGGGCAGCCAGGTGCCCAGTTTGAGAAAACACAAGCCAGAGGGGCTTAGCTGATATTTAATCAAAAGCCAAGGTCCGGAGGCAGCTAATACAAGGGCTGCACCAATCTTAAAGCAACCGAAGTGGTGTCCAAGTCACATGGATTGGTGCAGTGTTTCTCAGAGGCATTTTCTAGCTTGCTCGAAGAGAGGGTACAAATTGAGAAAATGGAGTAGTTCAAGCCCAGTTGGAAGGGTGCTGGGGTTTTGCCCCCATATATCAATTTTTTGTACAAGGTTTCCTCAGAGCACTCAGTTTGGCTGGCATGGGGGTGGAGGCTGCTTGCCAACAAGTGTGTGTTATGTGTCACAGAATTTGGCCTTGGCTTTCATTGTAAGCTGGTAGAGAGGGTGTTGGGGAAGAGGCCCAGAACCCTCATCTAACCTTAACAACTGGCAGGTTCTGCAAATGTTTCCTTAAAAACCTAATGATTGTGAATGCTCAAATGGATCTGAATTCATTTGCATCACCCCAGTTGCAGAAAAAATAATATCCGGCTACCTCCAGGTAAACTCATTCAGTGAGTTTCAGTCATTTCAGGTTTAAAGCCACCTCAGTCACCCTGAGGACTGTTCCTAGTCTTTCTCTTCCTATGGTTCTGCTGCAGGCAGCTTAAGTGGAGGACATCATATCCATTCGCTTCCTGGTCCTGACCAGTCCCGGGCTCATCTACACGGGGAGGTGGGCACTCTGCCACACTGCTGGCATGGAGGTGCCCTGGCTCCACACTTGGCCTTCAGGGGCCATGTTCCACGCTGCTGCCCACAGCAGCACCCTTTTTCCTTTGAGACCCCGTGGGCTTGTCTGCTTTCAGCTACCTGAGAAATCTTTTGCCTGCTTCCCAATGAGGGCACAGGGATGCTAAGGCTGCCCTATGCAGCCTCTGGCATAATTTCCTTGGCACTGAGAATGTGCCCTGGGACCTGCCCCCATTCCCAAGAGCAATGAGGCCAAAAGTAAATTGTTCAACTCTCTACTCTTGGATCCCCAGATTTAACAGGAATTATGCCCCCCTGCCCATGCATTGGGGATGGCTCAAGTCCAAGCCTGCCTTTCTGTCCTCTCTGGTACTTCCCCCCCAGCCCATGCCTAGTCCCAGGGGCAAGGACACTGGAGCTGTGTCATTGGTCTTTCCTACTTTACACCTAGATGTCAGTTCTGGAACTCAAAAGCCAAGATTTTTTTTTTTTTTTTTTTGAGATAGAGTCTCACTATGTCGCCCTCAGTAGAGTGCTGTAGCATCACAGCTCACAGCAACCTCCAACTCTTAAGAGATTCTCTTGCCTCAGCCTCCCGAGTAGCTGGGACTGCAGGTGCCTGCCACAACACCCAGCTATTTTTTGGTTGCAGTAGTCATTGTCTCTTAGCAGGCCCAGGCCAGCTAGAACCCACCAGCCCCAGTATATGTGGCTGGCGTCCTACTCACTGAGCTACAGATGCCGAGCCAAAAGCCAAGAATTTTGATGGCTTTAATCTCTGGCTCCTCTGAAAGCACCCTGCCTTTGTACTTCCGGTTGGGGATGATGCTGGTCAGGAGAGTCCCTGAGTTAACCAGAGTTCTGTGAGGAAGTCACTACTTCACAAAACTCTCACTTGGCCTAAGTGAATTCTCCAGGGTATATTAAGTACTGCCCCTAATTTCTATTAAAGTACAAATATTGCTGGGAATTAGATAAAAGCTGAAATGCTTTAGTGTGCATTTATTGAATGCTGTTCTCACTGGGGAGAGGTCCCTGTCTGGACATGGGTGAGCTGGGAAGTGGCCCCAGAGCAGGACAAAGAGGCATGGGAGGGATCACTGCAGTTGTCTTTACCTGCCCCCATTTTCCCTGGGCCACAGGGCTGTGGCAAAAACAGCAAGTTTGCCCTTGGTTTAAGGGCTGGGTGGGGAGCCTGAGTGGGAAAAGACAGTGGGAGAAGTGAGAATGGAAAATGGGTGGATGTTAGTGTGAGACGCCGGGTTGTGTGTACTCTTCTGCAGCCTGGCTGCCTGGCTTGGACAGTCCATGGGCCTTCATGTGGGCCGTTCTCCATCACCCCATCCCCAGCCCATGACAGGCTCCCCATGCTTCCAGGTACTCGCTGGCTCTCAGTCCAGTCCAGAAGCTGTCCCGTGTAGCTGGCCCCCATTTTGGCCATTGGTGTGAGTGTTCAGGGGTTGGTGGGGAAGTGTATCCATCCTCTTGAGCCTGCCACCCTTGGGCCCAGCTCTTCTGCTGCCCCTACAGGCTCACTGGATGACACCAGAGAACGTGTTAATGGGCATCAGAAGGGGTTTGGGCTTGGCTTTGGTTGTTTCCATCTCCTTCTGCCTATGTGTACCGATCCACGGTGCCTTGGACTTCTGGGCCCCGGAACATGGCTCTAGGCAGGGAGCAACCTCCAATCTGTTGGTAGAGAGAGAACAGCTCAGGTGACCAATCTCAGGGGTCAAATTTGCCAGGGCATTTGAAAGGTAGAGCTGTTGCTGTAGGATATAGAGGAGGAGGCCATGCAGAAGGAAGAGGAAGAGTCAGGATGAGAACATACACCCTGGGCCTGGGGCCAACCAGGAGAGAGGAGACGCCTGGACCCAGGGGTGTGTGTATGTCTTCCTCACCCAAATGCACCCTCCTGGGGGATACCAGTAAGGGTCTGTTAACTGGGGCACAGATGCTTCAGAAAGTTAGCCTGTGGGGAAGGGTCCCCATGCCACAGAGGGGGTTGGATTCGGAGGGCTGCAAGCTGAGTGTATGTGGAGGAATGTTGGGAAAATTTAGTATTAACAGCTGCCCAGTGTCAGGCATTCATTTGCCTGTTCTTGGATTCAAGTCATGGGGCAGTGACCTGAGTTCATACTCCCCAGGGACACCTGCCGAGCCCCAGGATCTGCCTTTTGGCAAGGTACACTGGACTAGAAATGGCAGGAGCTGGCTCCTGCCTCTGTTTTCCCCACTGGGCCTGGACCCCTAGCACCTAGCAGTGCTGCTACCTAGCAGTAGCAGGTGCAGCCTCACCTGACCACATCCCTGAAAGTCCGCTGATTGTCCTTGTCTAGCAACAAAGTCAGCAGCCTCTGGTCCTGGCTCTGGATCTGGATGCTGGCCGTCCGGAAAGTGTTTGTCACTGTCTGCAACAAAGAGATGGCTCATGTGAATGTTACCTTTGCTCAGCACAAGGTCCTACTAACATCTTCCCCAGAACCTGGTGCTGTTGTTGTTGTTGGGGGGGTGTTATTTTGCAGTTTTTGGCCGGGGCTGGGTTTGAACCCACCACCTCCAGCATATGGGGCCAGTGCCCTACTCCTTTAAGCCACAAGCGCTGCCCTCTGGTGTGTTTTTAGTCTAGTACATGGGGTCTCTGGATGTCTTCCTGCAAGTGATTCTGAGCAGGGACAACCCTGCATAAATTGCTTTCAGGCAGCCCTTGCCCGGATTTCACTCATTTCTGCAGTTCTTTTCTAACCTATTGCCCTTGATTTTGAACACAAACCAGAAAACTGTGGATTGTGCTTGTCAGGTTGTCAAGTTATCCGAGTCTGAGTGCTGATTTATTCAACAAACATTTTCTGAGCATCTCCTATATGACAGGCATGTTGTTATGTGTGGAATCTGGGGTATTTCAGGGGTTTTATACATCTGACTCTAGTTCTCAGCATTAAATTACAAGCAACATTATTTACCTGGGTCAGAGACAGAGGGTCTAGAAAGCAGACAAGGGCATCCCCAAGCCTCAGCCCAGACATCCTTCTAACCCCCAACCTGAGTCCCCAGAGAGTCCCCCTCCCTCTAGGCAGAGGATATGGGACATCAAGGGGCTTTCAGAGATGCTGGCCATTCCACCCACAGTGTGGGTGGTTTATAACCACAGAATGTGGGAGCTGCTGGAGGCCTCGGGGTCCATCTCACCCAGTGTTCTCAACCCTGGCTGCCCACAGAATCACCTTTCAGTACTATAAGATTAGAGATTCTGATTTAAATGATATAGAGATGAGCCCAGGCATGGGCATTTTTTAAAAAGATCCCTGGTGTAGGTAGAGCTGAGAACCACGGAGTTATTCTAACTTCTCATCACAAAGCAGAGGCTTGGGCAGCCTCCACTGGGGGTGGAGAGTGTCGGCTTCACCTGAACCTTTGGGGAGATGGCGTGGGCCAGCTAGAAGTCTGCAGGCCCTGGAAGGGCCGAGAGCACAGTCTCTAAGCCAGACTCCCCAGTTCTAATCCTTGGCTCTGTTCTCCAAGATTACTGTGTGCCCTGGTGCAAATTTCTTAATTTCTCTGTGCTACATTTTAGGAATATTGTGAAGATTAAATGAGATAGTATATGTTAAGTATTTGGAGCAGTGCCAATGACACAGTAAGAGCTTTTATTAATGTTGAGTGTTTATTACTATTAATCCTAATTTTCTAAGAAGAAACTGAGCATGAGTAAGGGACTCAGCAATGAAGCCTCAGTCGTCAGAGAGGAAGGGGAGCCCTCTGTGGATTCTTTCTTTCGTATGTCTCCTAGGCCAAGCCCTCCTATTATCACCTACCCATAGACTCCTGTGTATCTGCACAGATAGGTTATAATTAAGGACAGAAAGCTACCCCAAACTCTGGAAGATGGGGGACTCCATAACAGAAGGTAATACACAAGGGAGAGGGAACTTCTCTCCTGCTGTCAACAGAACCTGTGGCAGCTCTGGTGCCCTGGAGCTGTCAGCCAGGGTGGGCAATTGTGGTCATGGGGACAGGTGGTGGTGAGCACTGACTGGACAGCTAATGGAATGAGTGTCGGCTTGGGGATGTCATCTTAACCTTCCAGAAATACCTGGAAAGACTGCAGGGGGCTGAAGTCCTGCATGTGTTGGGGTGGAGGACACCCCAACACAAGGAAAAGCCAGGTGCCTTCCATTTGCCATTGTTAACAGCACCACACCTGAATTGATTGCACCCAGCAATCACAGGGGAGGAGACCTGGGCCCAGAGGCATTGAATGGGACCTGCTGAAGGCTGTGCGGTGGTAGGAGGAGGCCCAGCCCCTGCCTGACTCCAAGCTCCATGCTCCTTCTGCTGTATCAGGCTGCTCTAGGTGTCTCTGTCAGAACCTGCCTACCCTAATCTCTCAGAGCCTCCGGGCCTCCTCCCCCCCTAATCTCTCAGAGCCTCCGGGCCTCCTCCCCACTGTCTGCAGTGTGGCGGGATGCCTTTCACTTCCCGTTTGTTGCTTGTCTGGACACACCCTTCCTTCTTGGCTTTGGCCCAGGTCTTGGAGTTCAGTCAATGAACGTGGCCACAGAGGCCGGTGGAAAGGGCCAAATGCAGAGTTTGGAAAGGGTTCCAGTCTCAGCAGATTGAGGGGACAGGCAAAATGCTGCTAGTTATCTCCTGTTTTCTGTGTGGCTTCCTGCCTTCCACACCCCAACACCCCAGTTCTTCTGTTGCTGCCTTATTTCTCACTACGCTTCTATATCAAACTTCCAATCCACCCTCAGTCATACATTTGCTGACCCTTAAACTCATCAAGCCAAACACAGTGCCCTTGCCCCTGCTGGCCTCCCAGCAGGGGATACCTGGTTCCAGCTTTTCGTGAACTTCCCCCTCTGCTTGGCGATTTTCATCCTATCCGTTTGGACAAAACATGCACATGGACCTGCCTAGTTCCAAGAGGAAAGAGCAGCTCCTGGAATTTCCCCGCATGAAGCCAGTGCAGGGACAAAAGGTAAGTCAATGGAATGACAAGTTTAGATCTTCAAAAAGCCCCTGACTAGGCTGTTTAAAGAGGTCATTAAAAACAGAAACCACTATAAGGAACTGACTTTGAAAGAGGAAATACAACATACTAGGTACTAGTTCCACCTTTTAGCCTAAAACTTAAATAATATGTTGTCCCTTAGGAGGGCTGATTTTAGCTCAAGATGGCAGATCTCTCAGCCAATCAGAGCTCTCCTATGGTGGCTCGGATGCCACGGAAACAATGAGATCTGGGATAAGGTGGGTGAATGAGATGACTCAACAGACATTGGGTGAGATCCTGCTGTGTGCCAGACAGCATGCAGAATACTGGGGAAATGGGAAACTAAGACGAGGACCCTGAGGCCAGGGAGCTCTCAGGCCCCTGACATATAAAGATCATGCTGTTTATAGTGTCACAAATGCTTCCTTGTCCCCAGGATTCTATAGGAATACAGAGGTAGGGCACCTAGCCCACCAGGGAGTGGGTGAAGGGGGAAGAAGCGTCACCAAAAACCTCGTAGGGGAGAAGACACCTGAGTCTCATCTCGCAGCCTGTGTAGGAGCCCCACAAAGAAGGTGAGGAAATGGGGTTTCAGGTCAAGCAAAGACCATGAGCAAAGGCATAGAGGAGTGGCTTCAGGGACACTTTCCAAACACCACAGTGGGAAGGGCCTGCAGGGAGTGGCCACAGCTGCCTGTGGAGGAAGGGGAGCCAAGCCATGCTACACCATATGTTTTCTGCTCTTGGAGAATACGAAATGGCAAAGGGGGCGAGGTGGGCAGAGATGGGGAAGGTGGACTTAAGGAGCGTCGGAGTGGTGCCAGGGAGACCAGCCAGGGGTCACTGTATTGTTCAGGAAAAGGGGATGGAGTAGAGTCAGACCATGGCTGACCATCTGTTGTGAGCTGCCTGGGACCTTCCTGTTTTTAGCACTGGAATTCCCAAGTCCAGGAAACCCCTTTAGTTCCAGGTAAACTGGGATGATTGGTCAACCGGGCTGGAACCCAAAGGAGGAGGATAGAGAGGAAGGGACAGATTTGAGAAGTGTCTGAGAGAGAAAACCTGCAGGATATGGAGAAGTGAAGAAGCAGAGGCCTCAGGGATAACGCCCATGTTTCTGGTAAAGGTGTGTGGTTAAGGAAGGGACCATTAAATGAGAGAGGAGCGCTGAGGAGGGGGTGGCATGAAAATAACGGCTAACACAGACACAGTGTTCAGCCAAGCCCTGTTCCAAGAGCTTCTCATGCCACAAACACTGAATGACGTAAGTGATATTGTAGTCAGATCGTCCATACCCATGTACATGGGACCTGTGTATACAGAAGGCTGATTAAGGGGCTGGTGCATCTACGGAGTTTGGTATCCTCAGGGGTCCTGGAATGATCCCCTGTGAATACTCAGGGACACTGTATCTCCATTTTATGTAATGAGACTGATGGAGGCCCAGAGAGATTGAGAAACTTACCTAAGGTCACATAACCGGGAAATGGCAGAGCCACGATCTGATTCCAGGAAGTCTGGTTCTAGAGAGCTCTTAACTACTTGAAGGTACTGGCTTTGGTCTTAACTATCTTGAATTCGGGGTGTTGTGGGTTATCTGCTTCAGGCTAACCTAGTTTAACGCAGAAGTCAGAAACTCAGGGGTAAATTGGACTAAATCTTTCTAAGTGGATTTGTCATAGTCCGGGGAATGAGAAAAAGAAATGAGCCACAGATAGAAATTGAGAACAGTCGCTATTTAAGGATTTAGGAAAAAGAGTTCAGGAAAAGAGGCCAAAGAGTAATAATCAGACATGTAGACGAAAAAACTGTAAGAAAGTGAATTTATGGATTTACGGTATTTAAAGACTCAGAGAACAAAGCCTCAGTTCTAATGGTGGAACTGATTCAAAATTGACCAAAGGAACATGAAACTGGGAAAAGCTGTCTGACACTGCTAGAAGACAGCTTCATCTGGGTGTTAACACATAAACACAATTTCAAATGTACATATTTTAAAGTGAAAGGTAATCACTGACAGAAGAAGAAGCACATGTAACTTCCAAATCATCAAGGAGATGGGGGGTGGGGTGGAGGAGCAAACAAAACCCGAACCATAAAGCAAAATGAAACATAAAAGCCAGAAAAAAGCATTTAAAAAACCCCCAGAAAGCGTAAGATAAGAGGGCAAAGATCAAATAGCACTTACAGTTTGCACTGATGGATTAAACTCTCATTTGTTAAATAAGCAAAAATAAATGTGTTTCAAATGAGCATATACTTAACACCACTGAACTGTATACTTAAAAACAGTTAAGGTAAATTTTACATTGTGTTTTTTACCATATATTAAAAAAAAAAAAAAACTCCAGAAGGCGTTTCAGTTTGAATCAGAACAAAATCGAATTATATGCTGTTTATAAGAGGCATAAC